CTATTCATTTATTTGAAATTAATTCTAATGCTTGATAGTTTAAAATCTATTAAATAGTATGCACTTATTTTTCTTTGAATATATTAACTTATTGAATACCAGATATGGTACATTGATTACTTTACAAATCTCAATAATATAAATACTTGGTTTCATACCTTTACACCATTCAAATTTTTATTTTTAATAAAGTAATAATTTGAATTAATTTCTTTTCAAGAAAAATATTTACTGTGATGACAGACTATACAATAGCTAGATGAGCTACAGATTTTTGCTGTTTTCTACGAATTTGGTCTTAAAAATCAAAAATTTTTTCAAACATTTGTTTAAATTTCAACTTCCATTTCAGATAATTTAATAAAAATTTGTTTATGTCAAATAAATATAATTAAATAAAATTTATTTATGTCAAAATGTAATATTAAAATTTTTTTTTCATTTTTGACTTTTTGTCTTATGAGAGACTTTATCCCATGCCCATCATGGGTTCAGCCAAGCCCACAATCAGGGTATTCAGAAGTGAGGGATGAGGCTCAACATATCTAGGACAGACTGGCCTTTAAAAATTTCTGCAATTTCCCATCTGTATTTGATCCAAAATTTCCAGAGCAATTGTCTTTAACTGCTTCATCCATATAGCCATCTTATTAAAATTTTTAAATCCAAAATTGTCAGATTTTGGCATGGATATATCAGCAGAGCCAATATAGGTACAGTACATGAAGCACATACATTCATAATTTAAAGACAAAATTTTTATTTACAAATAGAAAATGAAATAAAAATTATGTTTATTATTTTATCTTAGGTTGTTGCAAAATTTCTTTTTATTTTCATAAAGTTGTTTCTTTGTTATCAACAAATATATCCAAATATTACCTCATGAGTTTCTGGCTACATATTATTATCTGTATTAAATGCTTATTTAGATAGCTAACTGTTTAAATTTACAAAAAAGGAACATTTTCATCCTTTATTATGACAGCTTCATCTTCTTGACAAATATCAGCCACTGTTCAAACTAAATTTGAACTTTCCAGCCATTTTTGAGGATTGAACAATATTTAAAAACTACACATTTTTGTTCTAAATTTGTAAAAGCAAACCCCTATGCATGCACAGTATTAACCTCATTTCTCTGCCACTAAAAGTATTAACTTTTCATTCTTTTTTATATCATATTGACTCCTTCATTTTTCTGTCCTGCAAACATTTAATTACATCCTCCCAATTTCATGTTTGGAGTACTCCCTTCCATCTTGTGTCCAGTTCTATCAACTCCTGTATATTAATGATGTTAAGATGCTTTTTTAATATGTAAATGAAACATGGCTCCAGAAACCTCATGTTCTTAAAAAGCACCTTAATATCATTAATGTGTAGTTTTTAAATATTGTTTGATGCTCAAAATGACTGGAAAGTTCAAATTTAGTTTGAACAGTGACTGATATTTGTCAGAAAGCTGATGCTGTATAATAAAGGATGAAAATATTCCTTTGCGGTAAATTTAAATAATTGGCTACCTGAAAGAAGCATTTAATATGGATAAATATATCCATTATGTAAAATTTTGATGAAGTACCAAGAAGTATACATTTGGTTTTCAGTGCCATATGATTAGGATGTCATTTATGAACTGTACCTCTTGTATAATCTTATCTACTTTTCAAATGTTGAGATAATCATACTCTCTAGCTTTCATACCACTAATTCTGCTAGTAATTAGAGGAACCCAGAAGGTAAGGGTAGATATGGAATTGTCTGCGGCAGTTATTCTGTCAGCATGGAATATGTAGGTTACACTTCAAGAACACTTGGCAAAAGAATTAAAGAACTATACTATGGTATTATCAGCATTTTCATTGGAGGAATGCAATGTAGCACAATGAGAGGAAACAAAAATCATTAAGCAAGTCCATGACAAAAAAAAGCCAAATAGGCTGAGTTACTCAAAATATACAAAGCAGCAAAAAATTAAATGTATCAACATAAAGCATGCAATAAGCATTTTCAACACAAGGAAATTCATGGTAGAAAATAACAACAACAATTCAAATTAATTTGAAACAAGTCACCAATAAATGGCCTTAAAAAATAGAACATATCAAATTTGATATTGAATATATCCCAAGGAGAAGATTAAGGAAAAAAATTGAATATATCCTGATCAAACATCGCTAAACCCGATATATAACATAACTAAACACCAACAATATGCTGAAAATCTATCGGGCTAGTATTAGGCTAATTACTAAATGAATTACGTAACCAATTTGGCTCTAGAGGTAGGCGTTAGGCGCCATCTCTTATTAATATTAATAATTATAAATTAATTAATTAATTTAAATAATTTAGAACCGCTGGGAGAAAAAATCGGCCCGGAGCGGGACTCGAACCCACAACTCCTGCTTACCGTGCAGATGCGTTGCCAGTTACGCTATCCGGACCTCCGATCCGATCTCCTCTTCCAGCGTATAACTATGTAACCATCGACGGTTATTACAATGCCGGCTGGGGACACATTCAGTGCCCACGTCCTACTCCTATAAGGCACTCAACCGGCCATCGCAAGCCCCGGCAAGGCGTAATATATATAAACATCGCTAAACCCGATGTAATATAGCTAATCACCAAACATATGCCGTAAATCCATCGGGCTAGTTTTAAGGCTAATTACTAAATAAATTACGTAATTAATTTGGCACTAGAGGTAAGCGTTAGGCGCCATCTCTTATTAATATTAATAATTATAAATAAATTAATTAATTTAAATAATTTAGAACCGCTGGGAGAAAAAATCGGCCCGGAGCGGGACTCGAACCCACAACTCCTGCTTACTGTGCAGATGCATTGCCAGTTACGCTATCCGGACCTCCAGTCCGATCTCCTCTTCCAGCGTATATAATCTAACTATATAACCATCGACGGTTATTACAACGCCGGCTGGGGACACATTCAGTGTCCAGGCACTCATTTAGTAATTAGCCTAATACTAGCCCGATAGATTTTTGGCATATCGTTGGTGTTTAGTTATATCCTGATCTTTTTCAAATTAGAGAAACCTGAGAAAAACAGTTATAAAGAAACCTGAAAACACGTAAATTGATTTTACATTGCATATTTAGTCTGACAGATATAGTAATAAAAATAACATACACTTTCACTCCAATTTATAAAATTTGAAATTAGTCAAATTTAATATGTTATTTTAAAAATCTTATATTTTATAATGTTCTAATTTTCCATATAAAATTTGATGCCAAAAAAATACTTTCAAAATTTATTTGATTACAAAATTTTCAGACTGATTTTAAAATGTTTAATTGGTAATGAAATTCTAAACATTATAAGAAGTCAATCATAATTCATGAAAATACTACATAGAATACTTATAATACTGATTTCAGTTTAAGTTATTAAAATTCTAAAATTAAAAATAACCATTTTAACTTAATTTATAAAGATATTGAATACATTTATTAGTCAAGAATTAAATTAAAATTTTACAAACCACATAATGGCTTGCAACAATGAGTTTTTTCTTAACTGAGGAGTGCGAAACAAATCAAAAAATGATGCATTTGATTCTGACATATGTTGTTTTTGACATGCATTTTCCAGATTTTCTTCCTAAAATATATATTTGTATATTAATTAGTTATAATAAATAATTTAATAATATCTCATTAAACAAAATATTCTAAAATAAATATAATAAAATTCCATTAAAACATGAATAACTCAAAATTTAATAGCAGTAATTTATATTTCAAATTAATTCTTAAAAATTTTTAAAATATGCAGGTCAGATCACACATGCATTAGAATCCACATTTGTGATTACAATATCAGTAATGTTGCCAGAATTGGCACATCCATAGATCTCCAGGACATGGTGCACATTAGCACCATGTCCTGGAGATCTAAGTAACATGACATCATCTTAGTACGCAGCCATTCAACTGTTAACTGAATGTTATAGTTTACAGAAGTTAAATGCATATAATAAAAATAGTAAAACATTTTGCATCATTTTCTGTACCTTTTTATTGAAATTTCAGTTTAAAGAATTGTTGTTCATCTTTATTTTCAAATGTTGTTTTGATGTTTATTTAATTAAAGCTGTATGATATGAAAGAGTTGACTATTTTTAATTAAAACGATTTTTTTATTTAAATGTGAATTTTCATTATGTTCATTTATCTGCAGCTTAATACATCTAGTTGTAACATGGATATCCAAAATTGTCATCATCTCAGAAACCACGTGTTTTCAAAAATATTCAGTAAAACTACATTTGTCATAAAGTACAAAAATCATCAATCATACCTTTAAATGGCATACAAATTTTACTTTTTGTAACATTTTCAGTCATTTTTAACCTGAAGAAGGGCATTTAAAATGACAGAAAACATTAGAAAAAGTAAAATTTGCACTGCATTTAAAAGATATGAGTGGTAGTTTTTGTAGTTTTCAGAAATTTTGAGTAATAGCCATATATGTAAACATTAAATATATCTATTGAGGTAAATATTTATTAACAACTTATAAAGTGATTTATACTAAACGGATTCAGTAAGGTTACTTGTGGTTAGAGAGAATGTAAAAAAAGTTGTTGGATCTTTTTGTTACTATGATATCTATATACATAATAAAAAAATTTCTCCTCCTTTTCCAGTTGTTTTGGTAAATTTTAATACAAAATATGATTTTTCAATGATATAAACAATTATTGAAGAAAATTTCCTGAATTGGTAATCTTCAAAAATTTGGCTAACATCTTTGAAAGTCTGAACAATTCATTTAAAATATGATGTAAAGATTTTGCAAATGACATTAAATGAAAACAGATAATGATTATAAGAAAACTACCAATGATAATAATTACGTGCATTCAACTTTTGATGCAATATAGTTTTCCAGGAATTTTATGCACTTTACAAAAAATTTCTAAAAATTGGTTTTTAAAATGAGTTGAAATATATCAAGTAATAAAAATATAATGTATGCTATAAAAAATCCCCGCTATAAATTTGACTACTGGCTTCTAATGTTGCTATCTTTCATGTCACAGACTGGAGGTGGCCATGGCACATCCCAAAACATACAAGTAAAATATGCTTATACAACTTGTCTTATTGTATTATAATTATTATTATCTTCAAGTAAATAGGCATTTTTAAGCCATCTTCTTTCACTATCAGCTTAAAGATTGTGTTACAAGCCACATGTTAATCACTATCATTATCACACTTAACTAATTCTTTAATGCTAAATGTTCATTGTTTTAGTCATCATTTGCTCACAGTACAGTAGTTTAAATTGGTGGCATTTATTACCTCAATTATGTACTGGAAAATTATCATTAATTAATATTAAATCTTAATTAGTAAAACTGAGTTATCCAATTTTTAATTGTTTTAACAGGTCTTTATAATGTCAGAGTCAATAAAATCAGAATTGCCACTAATTGTAGTCTTATTTACTTTCTCCACTTAATGTTATCAGTTAGTTATCATCATCAGTATAGATCAGGCTATTTCCAAAATGATTACATTAAGTAGAATCAATTACTACTATATACAAAATTTTCTTCTAAACTTATAAAAATTTAATGTTTTCATCATCATGATGCACTCAATGGTAATTTTCAAAACTTTGATTTTGAAACATAACATAGATTTTGTTTCTATTGAAAATTGTTCCAACTCATTCTTAAAACACTATCACTTTACTACAAATGCAAGAAGTTGATTATATAGTCTAACAAATAAAGAAAGAATAAAATCATAAATACAATAGAAATCAACACCTGTTAAAAATAAAAACAAAATATCAGTATATCAAGAAAAGAAAATAGTAAAGACTAAAAAAACTAAAAAAATTTAAACAGATTTTTATCAAAGTAATACTAATTATATTATCTAATTGTACTATAAACAAGTACACAAAAATTTAAATTTCCTTTCCGACTTGGAGGATTATTGATCTCTTAACTCTAAAACATTTAATAAAAAATGAAGTAGAATCAAAAATTAAAGTAAACTTTCCCCCAAATGCATTTTGCCAGCTACACTGGCCTCTTCAGTTGGGTTAACTTATGGATATTTGTCGTAACTGAAAAATTAACTTATATTATGTACTTTAATTAACCCTACTGAGGAGGCCAGTGTAGCTGGTGAAATGCATTCGGGAGAAGTTTACAGTAATAATAAAGTGTTTCTCTTTGCTGGAAAACTGGTTTGTTTTTTTGACTGTTAACTTTTGATTCTACTTCATTTTTCATTAAATGTTTTAGAGTTAAGAGGTCAACAATCCTAAAAAATTCAGAAGTCACAGTCTCCACAAGTCAGAAAGGAAAGGAAATTTAAATTTTTGTGTACTTGTTTATAGTACAATTAGATAATGATTAGTAATAAATTCTGACTTCATTGTTTTTTAGAATTTTATTTTTTAATTATATTATGTATTGTACATCTACATAAATACATACTCTACACAAGAACACATAGTAAAATAACTTCTTAAAGATAAGAAATATTTATACATTATTATAGATAATTTCTAATGTAACTTTCTTTTTAATTCTCTTAGCTAAAAGATGGAAGAGAACCTTCTTATCTAGATAATGTACAGATTTGGTAAGCCTTCATAAGATTGGTTGGATAGTGAAGGACAGAATCTAAGATTTAAACTAAATCACCTTTAGAAAATTCTTGCCTAGTGTTGGAAAACCCATGGCAATTTCAAGGCACCTGTATCAAATGTTTAGAAGTATTAATTTTTTAAAACTTTGCATAATTTATAAAATCTATCAAATAGTTTTTTTATATGTGGTTTATAAGCAAGATCCTAAAACTGTTATAAAAATTTTTAATGACTATTAATTATAAACCTCAGATAGAAAAATTATATCAAATAAACAGCAACAGCTTTCCCATTAAATGAAATGCACAGAACTCCTGATTACCCATGCTAATTAGTGCATGGGTGTGCATAGAGAACTTGAAAACATGAATAATCCAAAATAGCCTTCTAAACTATATAAAAACTATTCAAAGGTTTTTAAATAAACTACAGTATATATACAGCTCAACTCCATTATATTATAATGCAAATGTGAGTCCCAAGTTTCATAAACTGAAATGTCAATAAACATAAAATGTAGATTTCTTCTATTTTCAAAAGTATCATGTAGAAGTTTAAATTTTATAATTTCTATGTATAATTCTTACATTTTTTTCCAAATTATTGCATTTTAATTTTAGGACTAGTGGAATAATTTTACAAATCTGCTGTTTATAGCATACAAGTGTAATTTTTTTCATATATATTCTATCAAAAAGCTGAATGTTGCTTATGATACTTTGTCATTACTGTATTAGAATTACTGTAAAATGACAGTAATTCTAATATTTTGACAATATACAATAACCCACAAAACAGATAATCCATGCATAGATAATTGTGAGTTTGGTGTATTTTGTTCTGTTATAATCACAATATCTTCTAATCTGATTACTGGTGTTAAGGAACACTCTCACTCAATGAACCTTTATCTCTGGTAATGCTTAAATTTTGGGAACAAATGTTTTTGGCCTCACCCGAGGTCTGCTTCAGGTTAAATGAAAAATGGAATTCCAAACTTTGAAGTTGTTCCAAGGAAAGTCATTCTAAGTTTGGAATCTCATTTTCACTTAACTTGAAGCAGACCTTGGATGAGGCTGAAAATGTTTGTTTCCAAAATTTAAGCATTTCTGGAGATAAAGGTTTGTTGAGTGGGGGTGTTCTGTTATAATCATAATTTTCTTTTCACTTACACAGGATTTATTGTTTATTTTTCTGATATACAGTTTAACCTGTCTATCTCAAACATGTTTATCTCAAAAACCTATTTATCTTGAAATTTATTTTTTTCCCCTCTGCATTTTCAGCCTAAATTCAATATACTTTCCATGTTTATCTTAAATAATTTTTTCACAAAACCTCTATATCTCAAATTAGGGACTGAAGTATCAATTACAGTTTAAAGCTCAATGACTACATTTTGATAGCATAAATTATAGTTGAAAAACATCTCTTGCATTAGACTACAGAGTTGCAATTAACACTCATTTCCCTGACTACAAATTTGATTTGGTTTATTTGTTTATGGCAACACAGCACAGGTGATCTGCCAAGAAGGATGGCTTCTAGGAAGACTTTCTATGGGAAACTGACCCCTATTGAGATGTTACAAATGTGAAGAAAATCCAGAAAATTCCACATGGTAAGCCCATTGGCAAAGCATGAACCATGACCAACTACTAGTGTTCAATGGTTATATTCACTTGGCCACTGGTGGGCTAAGGCTACAAATTTGGCTTGCATCTTATTGACTGAAGAAAGTCAGGCATTAGAAACTATTGACAAGCTATAGCTGTTAAGGTATGTCAAAAATGTTTTATTAATACCTAATACAGGTATGTACTGTACTTCCTATTGTATTAATAAAATACTGTACCTCCAATCAAACCTATTACTGTTTACTGTGTAGGAACCTCTATCTCAAAACGTTTCTTTCTTTCCTACAAGATTCAAGACAGCTAGTTAACTTTATATTAAAAAACTGAACCAAAGTAAACTTTTTAACATCTTTTATTTTTTTTAGTTACTCAAATTAAATATTTGAGATGTGATTTGGAGTTATTAAATTTTTAATTCAATTTTGACCCATCTTCAGAAAAAGATTCGCCATCACTGTTCTAGACAATCCAACATGGATTTGAACTTAAGTTCTTCAGACCCAGATCTTTATTGCTGTTACTATCCAGCAAAAGCCTAGCATAACTATTTTAATTGCAAATCCTTAAGAATTTATTTTTCAATTTCAATGAATCTTCACACAAGCACAAATATAGTAACACTTTTTTTAATGTTACAATCTATAGCATAATAATGTTCTATGGTAACAACATATATAACACAGGTATATGAAAAAAACACTAATCATAGAAAATTTCTAAAGACCACTTTATAAATTTTTACTATAAAAAGTGGTCTAAAATATACACTGCACAATTGTTAATTTCAATATACTTCCTAGTGATTATAACAATGCTATAGTTTTTAATTGGATGAGAATTTTAAAATTCTCATTCCTGCAGCTATTTTTGAGACACTAAATTTGGAAAGAAATAAGACAGTTTTTTATGCAAAAAATCAGAATGAGTAAAATTTATTTATTTATTTTATTTTATACACAATTAGGAATTCCCAGACGGTAGATGATATCCACCCCCAAATAACAAAAATCCCAACAGTGAAATATGGTTAAAACCAAAAAATAACAAATTTAAATATAACAGTTAAATAACTAAAGTTAAATAGAAACACTAACAAAAAGCTTGATAATTTTAAACAAAATATCAAAATATTTTTTATCATAAAAATTTTTTTGTAAAGATTTAATACATTTTTTTTATTCTTTAATTAATATATAAAATCAGTTGTTAATACAATACCAAATTAAACATGTCAAACTCATTGTATTAAAATAAATATATTTCTTATATCAATTTATAAATAATCATATTAAAAATTTTTCATAGTTTTGTTGTTTTGAAAGCAAATAGTTCTTTAAATAAATAACAAAATAAGTTATTTAGTAATTGATTAAAATTTCAAACAAATAATTCTAAAATGATTTTATGGTATATATGAAATATATAATTTACGTCATATATATGTTCATATTCTTCTGGGAATTCTTTTCCATTAATTTTTGCAACTTTTTTCAAAAGTTGAATGGCTTCTTTATAGCGACCCTGAGTTAACAGCCAACTTGCAGATTCTGGTAACCATCTAAAAAATAATTATGATGTATAATAAATTCTGCTGTGAATAAACTAGCAAATGTAATTTAAAAATGAATTTTAGAAAAATAAATATAAATACACAGTATATTTAAATAAACAAAATTTATATTTATAATTTGAAAGAACCTACTGTTTTGTGTCTAAATAGTGAGTATATGAAAAGTGTAACTTGCTGCCAATGCTGTATAAAATGACTAACAACGGAAAACCTATTCTGCAATGCCATACACTGCAAATGATGAACTTTGCTTTGTGATTGTATGTAGCCTTTCTGATCCTTGTGTGAATGTTAGATCCTTCTCAAATTCATTGCTACCATACCTACAACATCTCTGAGATATACCCATCTGATTCAGTCATGTTCAAAAAGTCTATCAAATCTATCATGACATTCTCGTCTATATTTATGCAATTGCATTTTTAAAAACTGACAAAGTTGTTTTCTTTTCAGAAAGCTTTGGTTTCTTTTCTATATACACTCTTAGTTGCTAAGATGTCACTTCATAACAAACTGGTGCAATATTCCCAATAACTTAATCATTTAAAAATATAGTTTTAATGCTCTCTTTTGATATTAAAGATTATTTCAATTTTCAAGACAACACCAAAACAAAAGATTTTTCATTTGCTTGAGGAAGAAGGTACTATTTTATTTAAAGTATTCACAAACAAACTTGTTTGTATTTTTGTGCTTATTTTATTCTCTTGAACATTAAACATGATCTTTAACTTCAGTGTTTTCAATTATATTTTTATTGGTTTCATTGATATTAAGTTTACACTAATCTTTAAATGTCAATGTCAACCTTTTTTGTTCCTCACATTTTCCCTTGAAATAGGTGAACAAACATGTTCACCTATTTCAATTGGTTTGGGAACAATTGATTGATCAATTGTTCCCAAAAGTATTCACAAACAATTTGTTTGTGAATACCATGGCTGTGGAGTCGGAGTCGTGGAGTTTTGATGTTTTAGCCGGAGTCAGAGTCGGATGGTAAGGAAAAGTCAGAGTCAGTAGATTTTTACGCGACTCCACAGCCCTGGCAGGACTGTTGAGTCGGAGTTGTAGTCATGGAGTTTTGATGTTTTAGCCGGAGTCGGATGATAAGGAAAAGTCGGAGTCGGTAGATTTTTACGCGACTCCACAGCCCTGGTGAATACTTTTGTACTTTAAATAAAATAGTACCTTCTTCCTCAAGCAAATGAAAAATCTTTTGTTTTGGTGTTGTCTTGAAAATTGAAATAATCTTTAATATCAAAAGAGAGCATTAAAACTATATTTTTACAATCACAAATCGATCAAGGAGCAAATCTTATAAAAAAAACCTGTGTTCCAAAGACACAAGAAGCTTTTCAGTCACTGACATATAATTCTGTTATATGTATTTGCTCTTCACTTTACTCAACACTTGGATTTTCTGTGCTATCACTTTTTTCTGAACACTGACTAGTGGCTATTTCTTGTCCTATGTGATTGTGACTTTCCTCAACCCTCAGACTATCTTCCTCACCACCTTTGGATCACCAAACTGGATCTAACCTTTTATCAGCAGGACCATTGTCAAGGGAATAATAAACAAAATAACTTGTAACAAATTCTACTGGTGAACTGTAATAATGGTATTGTGGCAACAAAACAGATAGTATACATCTCTCTTGCTCAAATAAATGGCATTTGGAAAAAAAAGTCATTCCTTTCTCTTAAAATATACCTCCTGCATTACTGGCCTTTCTGACCACATCATCCAGATCCAGTTGCAAATTTCAATCCCAACTCTTCATGTCTTGATAGCAGATATGATGCAGAATCACATTGTGGCCATCAGCCATATTGTAGTTTGTATATAGTTCACAATTCCTTATTTTATTTCTAGTCTACTTTCTTTCTATTATCTTTGAGAACTTTCCATATCGACTGTTACTACTTGACGGGGGAGGCTTACTCCTTCTTAGAACCAAGGGCGAAACAAAGGAGTAAGGTATTAGTGCTTCTCTGAATTTGGGGAAATAAACAAAAGAAAATATAGCCATAGAATATATATAAAAACATCCAGACATACTGTAAAATATATGACTTACTTCAAACCAAAACAGTGCTTATTTCGATATAACTTTGTTCACTAATGTTTTCGAACTTATAGTTCTTCAGGTGAACCAATGGACAAATCGATATTATTTGAACAGATCTTTTTCAAACGAATTCTAAAATAAAATATTCTAAGGAAACCTGTGCAATCATAGTCTTATTTTGTGCATGCTCTGTTGATAGAGACATAGTTTTTGGTTTCTCATGTATCATAAATAAGAGTTTGCCAGGCTATCAATAAGTATAGTTCATCCTTATTGTTGATACATTTATCTTCCCTTGCTGTTTTATATATATATATGTAGATATCAAGAGCAAATGGTGTGGTTGCTGTGTCTTGTATATTAACTTTGCCTCATCTAATAATGCTTGTATGTCAGGGTCAGTGGCATACTGTGCTTAATGCCGTTGTATGTCTCTTATGTAAGATGTCGGCTTTATGCTCCTTGAGCCTCACTTCCAATGATCTTTTTGTGGATCCCACATATATTAAATCTTTATCCCACCTATGATCTTTTATAGGGATCATGTATACTCCTGCTAATTTGTCGTGTTGCGGAGTATCTTTTCCATTACTTAGCATTCTAAAAAGGGTAGGACATCTAAAAATTAAGGCGGCCTGTTTTCTCTTGGCGATTTCATTATATAGTTTCTCTAAGTACAGATTATAAGTAATCAGGATTCTCTCTTTCTGCATGTTACTTTCTTGCCTTTGCACTTCTGTTTGTTGTGTTCTTTGCGGATGAAGCGTTTTTTTGACCCTCAGAGCTACCATTTATTATATCTGCGTCATTCGGCAATGTTATTAATGGTGTTGATCTCTGTTGCAAATGCCTGCGCTGTTGATGAGTGGGTGTATGCCCTTTTAACCAAGCTATTAAATGCCGCTACCTTATAATGCCTTGGGTCACAGGAGTGTGCAGGGATGTACAATTGATCAGCCTGCGGTTTTCTATATACCTCTGTGATGATGGTTGCTCCATTAACTATGATGTTCACGTCGAGGAAATGAACATGAGTATAGCTCTCCTGTTCAAGGCCCAGAGTTAGGCCGTAAGAATTGTTATTAAATGCGGCTATGACTTCATGTATATCAGGTTTACATTTCCAAAGTATGAGTATGCCATCCACGTATCTCTTGTATGTAATAATATTGCAGAGTTGTCAGGCAGTACTTTCTGTTTGAGGAGTTTAATTACCAGTTCACATAAATCTCCTGCTACAGGGCTCCCCATAGGTACACCTCTTCTTTGTTGATATACATTGCCTTTGAATTGAAAGAAAGAAATTTATTGTGCTATAATTAGCACAAGAAATGTGCCAACTCTAATATTTCTTGATGGTGGTAACTGTCTTCTATTATATTTAGTAACAAATCTCTTAAGGCTGGCGGGAAGGAGTATCGAAGGGTATAGGGATTTAAAATCAAGCATTTGGAGGAGTACCAGTTCAATATATCCAACAGTGTCGAACTCATAACTCTCTTCAAGCTGATTGATACCCCCCCACAGTACCTCATTGTCCTTGATTTTAAATCCCTATACCCTTCGATACTCCTTCTGCCAGCCTTCTGTGCCTTAAGAGATTTGTTACTAAATATAATAGAAGACAGTTACCACCATCAAGAAATATTAGAGTTGGCACATTTCTTGTGCTAATTATAGCACAATAAATTTCTTTCTTTCAATTCAAAGGCAATGTATATCAACAAAGAAGAGGTGTACCTATGGGGAGCCCTGTAGCAGGAGATTTATGTGAACTGGTAATTAAACTCCTCAAACAGAAAGTACTGCCTGACAACTCTGCAATATTATTACATACAAGAGATACGTGGATGGCATACTCATACTTTGGAAATGTAAACCTGATATACATGAAGTCATAGCCGCATTTAATAACAATTCTTACGGCCTAACTCTGGGCCTTGAACAGGAGAGCTATACTCATGTTCATTTCCTCGACGTGAACATCATAGTTAATGGAGCAACCATCATCACAGAGGTATATAGAAAACCGCAGGCAGATCAATTGTACATCCCTGCACACTCCTGTGACCCAAGGCATTATAAGGTAGCGGCATTTAATAGCTTGGTTAAAAGGGCATACACCCACTCATCAACAGCGCAGGCATTTGCAACAGAGATCAACACCATTAATAACATTGCCGAATGACGCAGATATAATAAATGGTAGCTCTGAGGGTCAAAAAAATGCTTCATCCGCAAAGAACACAACAAACAGAAGTGCAAAGGCAAGAAAGTAACATGCAGAAAGAGAGAATCCTGATTACTTATAATCTGTACTTAGAGAAACTATATAATGAAATCGCCAAGAGAAAACAGGCCGCCTTAATTTTTAGATGTCCTACCCTTTTTAGAATGCTAAGTAATGGAAAAGATACTCCGCAACACGACAAATTAGCAGGAGTATACATGATCCCTATAAAAGATCATAGGTGGGATAAAGATTTAATATATGTGGGATCCACAAAAAGATCATTGGAAGTGAGGCTCAAGGAGCATAAAGCCGACATCTTACATAAGAGACATACAACGGCATTAAGCACAGTATGCCACTGACCCTGACATACAAGCATTATTAGATGAGGCAAAGTTAATATACAAGACACAGCAACCACACCATTTGCTCTTGATATCTACATATATATATATATAAAACAGCAAGGGAAGATAAATGTATCAACAATAAGGATGAACTATCCTTATTGATAGCCTGGCAAACTCTTATTTATGATACATGAGAAACCAAAAACTATGTCTCTATCAACAGAGCATGCACAAAATAAGATGATGATTGCACAGGTTTCCTTAGAATATTCTATTTTAGAATTCATTTGAAAAAGATCTGTTCAAATAATATAAATTTGTCTGTTCACCTGAAGAAGAACTATGAATTCAAAAACGTTAGTGAACGAAGTTATATTGAAATAAGCACTGTTTTGGTTTAGAGTTTGAAGTTAGAAAATATAGCCTGAGGTGAGAAGAAAGGAGAGAGGAGAACACTTTTTGGCTGGACGTCAAAAGAAATGGATTTACAGTGTAGTGAGCAAAGCTCGAAAGGAGAGAGGTGGGAAGAATATGGCAGATATGGGAAAGGACTGTCGAGGTTAAAGAGGAAGAAGCACAAGGGCTAAGGAAAACCTAAAGAATCGGATAACCTCGAGAATGATTTGCTGAATCAGTAAAGAAGAATAAAAAATGATGTCTGTGAAAGGGCACCTCCCTGAAGATATCAATCAATCAATGTGGACCCGGGTACTCTATATCTATCTCTTTATACTTTCTACACTTTCTTAAGTTTAATCATTTCCATGTTATATTAGTTTTAAATTAGACAAAAGATTAGTTTTTAAGTTGGTTATCAAGGTTTTGTGTTATGCTCGTGTATATTATATACTTGTACAAGAATAGGAGGCGACCTATTTCCCTGTGAGGATAATAGGGTAAAGAAACCTGTTAATTTGGGATCTTTGTAACAAAACAAGAAAAAAGAACCATGTTCAGAGAGTATTGAAGGAATATTCAATCATACATGTTTTTGTTCCTGGGTTCCTATTTGTAACGTTTATTTGTGGACTTACAAATCTCTCATGAACAAGCACATGATCCTCACACTATTATTTGTGCATAATGCATAATATGGTCTATTCATAATAACTACCAATTATTGCTTTGGATAATAAATATAAGACCGCATTGATTCTAAGATACACCCCTCCTTTGAACAATACATATAGGTAAAAACAAATACATTTTAGAAATGAGGAAATACAGTATATAAAAACATTTCAAGTAAAATTTAAAAAAGTTGCAGTTTATAGTTTCTTATAAATGCATGATATACATCACTTACATTCCTCCTAAAACTATGAGAAGCAAAGGAACTGATGTTGCAATACATAATTTTTTCCAATCACTTATTGCATAAGCAATCCATGGACAAATAGCTGAAAAAGTAATGTAACTTGATATCCAAAATATCACAGAAAGAGTTCTCTTTTCTAATCCAATATATTCTAAACCTAAAATGTAAAAATATTTTAATTAGAATATTTAATGTTAATTATTATAGAAACAACAAATTTATAATTATTANACACAAGAACACAAAGTAAAATAACTTCTTAAAGATAAGAAATATTTATACATTATTATAGATAATTTCTAATGTAACTTTCTTTTTAATTCTCTTAGCTAAAAGATGGAAGAGAACCTTCTTATCTAGATAATGTACAGATTTGGTAAGCCTTCATAAGATTGGTTGGATAGTGAAGGACAGAATCTAAGATTTAAACTAAATCACCTTTAGAAAATTCTTGCCTAGTGTTGGAAAACCCATGGCAATTTCAAGGCACCTGTATCAAATGTTTAGAAGTATTAATTTTTTAAAACTTTGCATAATTTATAAAATCTATCAAATAGTTTTTTTATATGTGGTTTATAAGCAAGATCCTAAAACTGTTATAAAAATTTTTAATGACTATTAATTATAAACCTCAGATAGAAAAATTATATCAAATAAACAGCAACAGCTTTCCCATTAAATGAAATGCACAGAACTCCTGATTACCCATGCTAATTAGTGCATGGGTGTGCATAGAGAACTTGAAAACATGAATAATCCAAAATAGCCTTCTAAACTATATAAAAACTATTCAAAGGTTTTTAAATAAACTACAGTATATATACAGCTCAACTCCATTATATTATAATGCAAATGTGAGTCCCAAGTTTCATAAACTGAAATGTCAATAAACATAAAATGTAATTTCTTCTATTTTCAAAAGTATCATGTAGAAGTTTAAATTTTATAATTTCTATGTATAATTCTTACATTTTTTTCCAAATTATTGCATTTTAATTTTAGGACTAGTGGAATAATTTTACAAATCTGCTGTTTATAGCATACAAGTGTAATTTTTTTCATATATATTCTATCAAAAAGCTGAATGTTGCTTATGATACTTTGTCATTACTGTATTAGAATTACTGTAAAATGACAGTAATTCTAATATTTTGACAATATACAATAACCCACAAAACAGATAATCCATGCATAGATAATTGTGAGTTTGGTGTATTTTGTTCTGTTATAATCACAATATCTTCTCATCTGATTACTGGTGTTAAGGAACACTCTCACTCAATGAACCTTTATCTCTGGTAATGCTTAAATTTTGGGAACAAATGTTTTTGGCCTCACCCGAGGTCTGCTTCAGGTTAAATGAAAAATGGAATTCCAAACTTTGAAGTTGTTCCAAGGAAAGTCATTCTAAGTTTGGAATCTCATTTTCACTTAACTTGAAGCAGACCTTGGATGAGGCTGAAAATGTTTGTTTCCAAAATTTAAGCATTTCTGGAGATAAAGGTTTGTTGAGTGGGGGTGTTCTGTTATAATCATAATTTTCTTTTCACTTACACAGGATTTATTGTTTATTTTTCTGATATACAGTTTAACCTGTCTATCTCAAACATGTTTATCTAAAAAACCTATTTATCTTGAAATTTATTTTTTTCCCCTCTGCATTTTCAGCCTAAATTCAATATACTTTCCATGTTTATCTTAAATAATTTTTTCACAAAACCTCTATATCTCAAATTAGGGACTGAAGTATCAATTATAGTTTAAAGCTCAATGACTACATTTTGATAGCATAAATTATAGTTGAAAAACATCTCTTGCATTAGAGTACAGAGTTGCAATTAACACTCATTTCCCTGACTACAAATTTGATTTGGTTTATTTGTTTATGGCAACACAGCACAGGTGATCTGCCAAGAAGGATGGCTTCTAGGAAGACTTTCTATGGGAAACTGACCCCTATTGAGATGTTACAAATGTGAAGAAAATCCAGAAAATTCCACATGGTAAGCCCATTGGCAAAGCATGAACCATGACCAACTACTAGTGTTCAATGGTTATATTCACTTGGCCACTGGTGGGCTAAGGCTACAAATTTGGCTTGCATCTTATTGACTGAAGAAAGTCAGGCATTAGAAACTATTGACAAGCTATAGCTGTTAAGGTATGTCAAAAATGTTTTATTAATACCTAATACAGGTATGTACTGTACTTCCTATTGTATTAATAAAATACTGTACCTCCAATCAAACCTATTACTGTTTACTGTGTAGGAACCTCTATCTCAAAACGTTTCTTTCTTTCCTACAAGATTCAAGACAGCTAGTTAACTTTATATTAAAAAACTGAACCAAAGTAAACTTTTTAACATCTTTTATTTTTTTTAGTTACTCAAATTAAATATTTGAGATGTGATTTGGAGTTATTAAATTTTTAATTCAATTTTGACCCATCTTCAGAAAAAGATTCGCCATCACTGTTCTAGACAATCCAACATGGATTTGAACTTAAGTTCTTCAGACCCAGATCTTTATTGCTGTTACTATCCAGCAAAAGCCTAGCATAACTATTTTAATTGCAAATCCTTAAGAATTTATTTTTCAATTTCAATGAATCTTCACACAAGCACAAATATAGTAACACTTTTTTTTAATGTTACAATCTATAGCATAATAATGTTCTATGGTAACAACATATATAACACAGGTATATGAAAAAAACACTAATCATAGAAAATTTCTAAAGACCACTTTATAAATTTTTACTATAAAAAGTGGTCTAAAATATACACTGCACAATTGTTAATTTCAATATACTTCCTAGTGATTATAACAATGCTATAGTTTTTAATTGGATGAGAATTTTAAAATTCTCATTCCTGCAGCTATTTTTGAGACACTAAATTTGGAAAGAAATAAGACAGTTTTTTATGCAAAAAATCAGAATGAGTAAAATTTATTTATTTATTTTATTTTATACACAATTAGGAATTCCCAGACGGTAGATGATATCCACCCCCAAATAACAAAAATCCCAACAGTGAAATATGGTTAAAACCAAAAAATAACAAATTTAAATATAACAGTTAAATAACTAAAGTTAAATAGAAACACTAACAAAAAGCTTGATAATTTTAAACAAAATATCAAAATATTTTTTATCATAAAAATTTTTTTGTAAAGATTTAATACATTTTTTTTATTCTTTAATTAATATATAAAATCAGTTGTTAATACAATACCAAATTAAACATGTCAAACTCATTGTATTAAAATAAATATATTTCTTATATCAATTTATAAATAATCATATTAAAAATTTTTCATAGTTTTGTTGTTTTGAAAGCAAATAGTTCTTTAAATAAATAACAAAATAAGTTATTTAGTAATTGATTAAAATTTCAAACACAAATAATTCTAAAATGATTTTATGGTATATATGAAATATATAATTTACGTCATATATATGTTCATATTCTTCTGGGAATTCTTTTCCATTAATTTTTGCAACTTTTTTCAAAAGTTGAATGGCTTCTTTATAGCGACCCTGAGTTAACAGCCAACTTGCAGATTCTGGTAACCATCTAAAAAATAATTATGATGTATAATAAATTCTGCTGTGAATAAACTAGCAAATGTAATTTAAAAATGAATTTTAGAAAAATAAATATAAATACACAGTATATTTAAATAAACAAAATTTATATTTATAATTTGAAAGAACCTACTGTTTTGTGTCTAAATAGTGAGTATATGAAAAGTGTAACTTGCTGCCAATGCTGTATAAAATGACTAACAACGGAAAACCTATTCTGCAATGCCATACACTGCAAATGATGAACTTTGCTTTGTGATTGTATGTAGCCTTTCTGATCCTTGTGTGAATGTTAGATCCTTCTCAAATTCATTGCTACCATACCTACAACATCTCTGAGATATACCCATCTGATTCAGTCATGTTCAAAAAGTCTATCAAATCTATCATGACATTCTCGTCTATATTTATGCAATTGCATTTTTAAAAACTGACAAAGTTGTTTTCTTTTCAGAAAGCTTTGGTTTCTTTTCTATATACACTCTTAGTTGCTAAGATGTCACTTCATAACAAACTGGTGCAATATTCCCAATAACTTAATCATTTAAAAATATAGTTTTAATGCTCTCTTTTGATATTAAAGATTATTTCAATTTTCAAGACAACACCAAAACAAAAGATTTTTCATTTGCTTGAGGAAGAAGGTACTATTTTATTTAAAGTATTCACAAACAAACTTGTTTGTATTTTTGTGCTTATTTTATTCTCTTGAACATTAAACATGATCTTTAACTTCAGTGTTTTCAATTATATTTTTATTGGTTTCATTGATATTAAGTTTACACTAATCTTTAAATGTCAATGTCAACCTTTTTTGTTCCTCACATTTTCCCTTGAAATAGGTGAACAAACATGTTCACCTATTTCAATTGGTTTGGGAACAATTGATTGATCAATTGTTCCCAAAAGTATTCACAAACAATTTGTTTGTGAATACCATGGCTGTGGAGTCGGAGTCGTGGAGTTTTGATGTTTTAGCCGGAGTCAGAGTCGGATGGTAAGGAAAAGTCAGAGTCAGTAGATTTTTACGCGACTCCACAGCCCTGGCAGGACTGTTGAGTCGGAGTTGTAGTCATGGAGTTTTGATGTTTTAGCCGGAGTCGGATGATAAGGAAAAGTCGGAGTCGGTAGATTTTTACGCGACTCCACAGCCCTGGTGAATACTTTTGTACTTTAAATAAAATAGTACCTTCTTCCTCAAGCAAATGAAAAATCTTTTGTTTTGGTGTTGTCTTGAAAATTGAAATAATCTTTAATATCAAAAGAGAGCATTAAAACTATATTTTTACAATCACAAATCGATCAAGGAGCAAATCTTATAAAAAAAACCTGTGTTCCAAAGACACAAGAAGCTTTTCAGTCACTGACATATAATTCTGTTATATGTATTTGCTCTTCACTTTACTCAACACTTGGATTTTCTGTGCTATCACTTTTTTCTGAACACTGACTAGTGGCTATTTCTTGTCCTATGTGATTGTGACTTTCCTCAACCCTCAGACTATCTTCCTCACCACCTTTGGATCACCAAACTGGATCTAACCTTTTATCAGCAGGACCATTGTCAAGGGAATAATAAACAAAATAACTTGTAACAAATTCTACTGGTGAACTGTAATAATGGTATTGTGGCAACAAAACAGATAGTATACATCTCTCTTGCTCAAATAAATGGCATTTGGAAAAAAAAGTCATTCCTTTCTCTTAAAATATACCTCCTGCATTACTGGCCTTTCTGACCACATCATCCAGATCCAGTTGCAAATTTCAATCCCAACTCTTCATGTCTTGATAGCAGATATGATGCAGAATCACATTGTGGCCATCAGCCATATTGTAGTTTGTATATAGTTCACAATTCCTTATTTTATTTCTAGTCTACTTTCTTTCTATTATCTTTGAGAACTTTCCATATCGACTGTTACTACTTGACGGGGGAGGCTTACTCCTTCTTAGAACCAAGGGCGAAACAAAGGAGTAAGGTATTAGTGCTTCTCTGAATTTGGGGAAATAAACAAAAGAAAATATAGCCATAGAATATATATAAAAACATCCAGACATACTGTAAAATATATGACTTACTTCAAACCAAAACAGTGCTTATTTCGATATAACTTTGTTCACTAATGTTTTCGAACTTATAGTTCTTCAGGTGAACCAATGGACAAATCGATATTATTTGAACAGATCTTTTTCAAACGAATTCTAAAATAAAATATTCTAAGGAAACCTGTGCAATCATAGTCTTATTTTGTGCATGCTCTGTTGATAGAGACATAGTTTTTGGTTTCTCATGTATCATAAATAAGAGTTTGCCAGGCTATCAATAAGTATAGTTCATCCTTATTGTTGATACATTTATCTTCCCTTGCTGTTTTATATATATATATGTAGATATCAAGAGCAAATGGTGTGGTTGCTGTGTCTTGTATATTAACTTTGCCTCATCTAATAATGCTTGTATGTCAGGGTCAGTGGCATACTGTGCTTAATGCCGTTGTATGTCTCTTATGTAAGATGTCGGCTTTATGCTCCTTGAGCCTCACTTCCAATGATCTTTTTGTGGATCCCACATATATTAAATCTTTATCCCACCTATGATCTTTTATAGGGATCATGTATACTCCTGCTAATTTGTCGTGTTGCGGAGTATCTTTTCCATTACTTAGCATTCTAAAAAGGGTAGGACATCTAAAAATTAAGGCGGCCTGTTTTCTCTTGGCGATTTCATTATATAGTTTCTCTAAGTACAGATTATAAGTAATCAGGATTCTCTCTTTCTGCATGTTACTTTCTTGCCTTTGCACTTCTGTTTGTTGTGTTCTTTGCGGATGAAGCGTTTTTTTGACCCTCAGAGCTACCATTTATTATATCTGCGTCATTCGGCAATGTTATTAATGGTGTTGATCTCTGTTGCAAATGCCTGCGCTGTTGATGAGTGGGTGTATGCCCTTTTAACCAAGCTATTAAATGCCGCTACCTTATAATGCCTTGGGTCACAGGAGTGTGCAGGGATGTACAATTGATCAGCCTGCGGTTTTCTATATACCTCTGTGATGATGGTTGCTCCATTAACTATGATGTTCACGTCGAGGAAATGAACATGAGTATAGCTCTCCTGTTCAAGGCCCAGAGTTAGGCCGTAAGAATTGTTATTAAATGCGGCTATGACTTCATGTATATCAGGTTTACATTTCCAAAGTATGAGTATGCCATCCACGTATCTCTTGTATGTAATAATATTGCAGAGTTGTCAGGCAGTACTTTCTGTTTGAGGAGTTTAATTACCAGTTCACATAAATCTCCTGCTACAGGGCTCCCCATAGGTACACCTCTTCTTTGTTGATATACATTGCCTTTGAATTGAAAGAAAGAAATTTATTGTGCTATAATTAGCACAAGAAATGTGCCAACTCTAATATTTCTTGATGGTGGTAACTGTCTTCTATTATATTTAGTAACAAATCTCTTAAGGCTGGCGGGAAGGAGTATCGAAGGGTATAGGGATTTAAAATCAAGCATTTGGAGGAGTACCAGTTCAATATATCCAACAGTGTCGAACTCATAACTCTCTTCAAGCTGATTGATACCCCCCCACAGTACCTCATTGTCCTTGATTTTAAATCCCTATACCCTTCGATACTCCTTCTGCCAGCCTTCTGTGCCTTAAGAGATTTGTTACTAAATATAATAGAAGACAGTTACCACCATCAAGAAATATTAGAGTTGGCACATTTCTTGTGCTAATTATAGCACAATAAATTTCTTTCTTTCAATTCAAAGGCAATGTATATCAACAAAGAAGAGGTGTACCTATGGGGAGCCCTGTAGCAGGAGATTTATGTGAACTGGTAATTAAACTCCTCAAACAGAAAGTACTGCCTGACAACTCTGCAATATTATTACATACAAGAGATACGTGGATGGCATACTCATACTTTGGAAATGTAAACCTGATATACATGAAGTCATAGCCGCATTTAATAACAATTCTTACGGCCTAACTCTGGGCCTTGAACAGGAGAGCTATACTCATGTTCATTTCCTCGACGTGAACATCATAGTTAATGGAGCAACCATCATCACAGAGGTATATAGAAAACCGCAGGCAGATCAATTGTACATCCCTGCACACTCCTGTGACCCAAGGCATTATAAGGTAGCGGCATTTAATAGCTTGGTTAAAAGGGCATACACCCACTCATCAACAGCGCAGGCATTTGCAACAGAGATCAACACCATTAATAACATTGCCGAATGACGCAGATATAATAAATGGTAGCTCTGAGGGTCAAAAAAATGCTTCATCCGCAAAGAACACAACAAACAGAAGTGCAAAGGCAAGAAAGTAACATGCAGAAAGAGAGAATCCTGATTACTTATAATCTGTACTTAGAGAAACTATATAATGAAATCGCCAAGAGAAAACAGGCCGCCTTAATTTTTAGATGTCCTACCCTTTTTAGAATGCTAAGTAATGGAAAAGATACTCCGCAACACGACAAATTAGCAGGAGTATACATGATCCCTATAAAAGATCATAGGTGGGATAAAGATTTAACATATGTGGGATCCACAAAAAGATCATTGGAAGTGAGGCTCAAGGAGCATAAAGCCGACATCTTACATAAGAGACATACAACGGCATTAAGCACAGTATGCCACTGACCCTGACATACAAGCATTATTAGATGAGGCAAAGTTAATATACAAGACACAGCAACCACACCATTTGCTCTTGATATCTACATATATATATATATAAAACAGCAAGGGAAGATAAATGTATCAACAATAAGGATGAACTATCCTTATTGATAGCCTGGCAAACTCTTATTTATGATACATGAGAAACCAAAAACTATGTCTCTATCAACAGAGCATGCACAAAATAAGATGATGATTGCACAGGTTTCCTTAGAATATTCTATTTTAGAATTCATTTGGAAAAGATCTGTTCAAATAATATAAATTTGTCTGTTCACCTGAAGAAGAACTATGAATTCAAAAACGTTAGTGAACGAAGTTATATTGAAATAAGCACTGTTTTGGTTTAGAGTTTGAAGTTAGAAAATATAGCCTGAGGTGAGAAGAAAGGAGAGAGGAGAACACTTTTTGGCTGGACGTCAAAAGAAATGGATTTACAGTGTAGTGAGCAAAGCTCGAAAGGAGAGAGGTGGGAAGAATATGGCAGATATGGGAAAGGACTGTCGAGGTTAAAGAGGAAGAAGCACAAGGGCTAAGGAAAACCCAAAGAATCGGATAACCTCGAGAATGATTTGCTGAATCAGTAAAGAAGAATAAAAAATGATGTCTGTGAAAGGGCACCTCCCTGAAGATATCAATCAATCAATGTGGACCCGGGTACTCTATATCTATCTCTTTATACTTTCTACACTTTCTTAAGTTTAATCATTTCCATGTTATATTAGTTTTAAATTAGACAAAAGATTAGTTTTTAAGTTGGTTATCAAGGTTTTGTGTTATGCTCGTGTATATTATATACTTGTACAAGAATAGGAGGCGACCTATTTCCCTGTGAGGATAATAGGGTAAAGAAACCTGTTAATTTGGGATCTTTGTAACAAAACAAGAAAAAAGAACCATGTTCAGAGAGTATTGAAGGAATATTCAATCATACATGTTTTTGTTCCTGGGTTCCTATTTGTAACGTTTATTTGTGGACTTACAAATCTCTCATGAACAAGCACATGATCCTCACACTATTATTTGTGCATAATGCATAATATGGTCTATTCATAATAACTACCAATTATTGCTTTGGATAATAAATATAAGACCGCATTGATTCTAAGATACACCCCTCCTTTGAACAATACATATAGGTAAAAACAAATACATTTTAGAAATGAGGAAATACAGTATATAAAAACATTTCAAGTAAAATTTAAAAAAGTTGCAGTTTATAGTTTCTTATAAATGCATGATATACATCACTTACATTCCTCCTAAAACTATGAGAAGCAAAGGAACTGATGTTGCAATACATAATTTTTTCCAATCACTTATTGCATAAGCAATCCATGGACAAATAGCTGAAAAAGTAATGTAACTTGATATCCAAAATATCACAGAAAGAGTTCTCTTTTCTAATCCAATATATTCTAAACCTAAAATGTAAAAATATTTTAATTAGAATATTTAATGTTAATTATTATAGAAACAACAAATTTATAATTATTATTAATATTTATATAAAATAATGATCTAAGATTTATATTATATATATATTTTTTAATGAATAGCAACTTCAGATACATTAATTAATTTTTTGGAAATCAAATTTAAAAAAAAAACAAAGTTCAAATAATTCTATTGCAATATTCTATTTATATAATTCCAAGCAGAAATGCATTGAAATTTATATATATATATATTAAGTAACTGATATATTTTCCATTAGCAATTAATATTGGCCAACATTCATTTATACTTACACACACACCAGATTATATCAAACACACATACATACATGGAATATATGTTTATGATACATTAAATTTTACAGATAATAATATGGAAATAATATAATTTAGATAATTTTTTACAAACTTAAAAGTTTTCTAATATTTATAAAATTCACCACTTAATCAATTTTATGACCTGGTTAAATTTTTGTATTATGAGTGAATGGGCCAGATCACCAATGAGGTCAATCAATCAGAATCATATCTGAACCAATTATTTGATAAAAAAATCATAATTCTCTTGAATAAATTCAACCTCAGATTTCATCTGCCAAGAAATTTTTTCTATTTAGAAATTTTTCAGGAATGAGGGAATGATAAAAATGCAGGTTTACTGTAGTTAATAAAGAATAAATAAAATTATTGTAATAAAATTTTTGCTAATTATTTAGGTTTGAAAAAATAAATAAATGTTCATTATTTTTAATTTATTTTTCACAATATTTTATTTAGTGTGGAAAAAAACCATGAATTAAATTTTTAATTATTTTTATTATTCAAAAAAATTTAATAAAAATTATCATATTTGTTATTTTGATATCTTTTGCCAAAATTTCAATTATATATAATGAATATGACATTAATATTAAAAAAGAAGTGACTGAATAAATAATATTAGTTTGCAAAACTTATAAAAAGGACTGAAATTAGAATAAACAATAAATTTAGATAATTTATCAGTTATTATACACACAACTTATTAAAAATCATTATTTTTCCATTTTATTGTGTTTTTATAAATGCATGGTAAATTTACTTACTAAGAACATATGGATCCTCTGATAATGGAATAATACTTGCACCAACTAAGAATCTTAAGATTACAAACATATAAAAATTTGTTGTAAATGCTGATATTAAGCCTGCACCAAATGCTAAGACATAACTACATATAATGGATGGTTTTCGTCCATATCTAAATAAAATATAAAGAAATTAGCTATAATGGCAACTGAAGTTAAAAAAAAATTAAATAGTCTATCATTATTTTTGACACAAATTTTTTAATTCATGTAAAGTACAATTGAAAATATAATTTAGATAAGTGAATAAATAATTTTAATTTTGAAACCATTTTTCACTTTTCAGTTCATGCAAGCTGAAATTTAAAGTTAAAATGAAAATATTTTAAACAGCAAATTAATCAAAAGAAACTTTGTTTAAATTATCATAAATGAAATAAACTATTGGGTTGTTTGGAAAGTTCGTAGCAATTTTTGATAGCCGACAGTTGAGACACTGATTGATGTGAAAATGATTAGAATTCTACAAACCAATGAATATTACGATAAATGACCATGAGACACATCCGTTACAAAAAAAAAACCCGTTAAGATTATTCAAATATCGTTTAATTTGTCTCATTGCAAAAATGGATACAAACAGCGTGCATTATCGATACTTGTTTCTTTCTTTTTATTGTAAAGGAAAAAATGCTGTACAAACAGCAAAAAAGATATGTGATGTTTATGGTGGGAGTGCTGTAGCAAAATCAACTGTTTGAAAGTGGTTTGCAAAATTTAAAGCGGGTAATTTCAGCCTTGAAGATGCTCCCGCTCAGGAAGACCTCCCATTATTGAAGAGGACCAGATCAAAGCATTATTGGATGAAAACCATCATTATACAACTCGGGAAACTTTTGAACAGTTGATTGTCCTACAGCACTCCCACCATAAACATCACTTTTTTTTTTTGATGTTTGTACAGCATTTTTTCCTTTACAATAAAAAGAAAGAAACAAGTGTCAATAATGCAAGTTGTTTGTATCCATTTTGCAATGGGTGTATTCAAAATCTCAGCATGCTGCCAGAAGTGATGTACTGCTGGCGTTTCGGAGAGAACACAAATGCTGACTGCTGGAATATCCAGAAAGGTAAACAAAAAAAAAATGATGAATGATATGGACTTGTACATTTTGCTAAATTTGTTTTTGAACTTATTTAATGAGACCAACGTAATGAAAAATGAATATTTCGAAAAGAGAAAGAGGGATGAGAATTTTTTAATATCTGTAGGAGTTATAGAAGAAGAAAAACCAGACAAGAAAAGAAAGAGGATTCGAATTGAAAATTATGTTTCAGACGTAGTATCTATGTACTCTGACAAAGAATTTAAAAGTCATTTTCGCCTATCGCGTACAACAGTAGAGGTAAGTAAGTACAATATATGTAGGGGAGAGTAGTACAATGAAACGTTATAAATTATAAGATGTGGGACAGTTTTAATTGAACATGTAAACAGTATTTTTTTGTTCAGAGAGGAACTTATAACGTATTTTTTTTCAGATATATTTAAGTGTATGGTTAGCATTAGANACAATTTGTTTGTGAATACCATGGCTGTGGAGTCGGAGTCGTGGAGTTTTGATGTTTTAGCCGGAGTCAGAGTCGGATGGTAAGGAAAAGTCAGAGTCAGTAGATTTTTACGCGACTCCACAGCCCTGGCAGGACTGTTGAGTCGGAGTTGTAGTCATGGAGTTTTGATGTTTTAGCCGGAGTCGGATGATAAGGAAAAGTCGGAGTCGGTAGATTTTTACGCGACTCCACAGCCCTGGTGAATACTTTTGTACTTTAAATAAAATAGTACCTTCTTCCTCAAGCAAATGAAAAATCTTTTGTTTTGGTGTTGTCTTGAAAATTGAAATAATCTTTAATATCAAAAGAGAGCATTCAAACTATATTTTTACAATCACAAATCGATCAAGGAGCAAATCTTATAAAAAAAACCTGTGTTCCAAAGACACAAGAAGCTTTTCAGTCACTGACATATAATTCTGTGATATGTATTTGCTCTTCACTTTACTCAACACTTGGATTTTCTGTGCTATCACTTTTTTCTGAACATTGACTAGTGGCTATTTCTTGTCCTATGTGATTGTGACTTTCCTCAACCCTCAGACTATCTTCCTCACCACCTTTGGATCACCAAACTGGATCTAACCTTTTATCAGCAGGACCATTGTCAAGGGAATAATAAACAAAATAACTTGGAACAAATTCTACTGGTGAACTGTAATAATGGTATTGTGGCAACAAAACAGATAGTATACATCTCTCTTGCTCAAATAAATGGCATTTGGAAAAAAAAGTCATTCCTTTCTCTTAAAATATACCTCCTGCATTAGTGGCCTTTCTGACCACATCATCCAGATCCAGTTGCAAATTTCAATCCCAACTCTTCATGTCTTGATAGCAGATATGATGCAGAATCACATTGTGGCCATCAGCCATATTGTAGTTTGTATATAGTTCACAATTCCTTATTTTATTTCTAGTCTACTTTCTTTCTATTATCTTTGAGAACTTTCCATATCGACTGTTACTACTTGACGGGGGAGGCTTACTCCTTCTTAGAACCAAGGGCGAAACAAAGGAGTAAGGTATTAGTGCTTCTCTGAATTTGGGGAAATAAACGAAAGAAAATATAGCCATAGAATATATATAAAAACATCCAGACATACTGTAAAATATATGACTTACTTCAAACCAAAACAGTGCTTATTTCGATATAACTTTGTTCACTAATGTTCTCGAACTTATAGTTCTTCAGGTGAACCAATGGACAAATCGATATTATTTGAACAGATCTTTTTCAAACGAATTCTAAAATAAAATATTCTAAGGAAACCTGTGCAATCATAGTCTTATTTTGTGCATGCTCTGTTGATAGAGACATAGTTTTTGGTTTCTCATGTATCATAAATAAGAGTTTGCCAGGCTATCAATAAGTATAGTTCATCCTTATTGTTGATACATTTATCTTCCCTTGCTGTTTTATATATATATATGTAGATATCAAGAGCAAATGGTGTGGTTGCTGTGTCTTGTATATTAACTTTGCCTCATCTAATAATGCTTGTATGTCAGGGTCAGTGGCATACTGTACTTAATGCCGTTGTATGTCTCTTATGTAAGATGTCGGCTTTATGCTCCTTGAGCCTCACTTCCAATGATCTTTTTGTGGATCCCACATATATTAAATCTTTATCCCACCTATGATCTTTTATAGGGATCATGTATACTCCTGCTAATTTGTCGTGTTGCGGAGTATCTTTTCCATTACTTAGCATTCTAAAAAGGGTAGGACATCTAAAAATTAAGGCGGCCTGTTTTCTCTTGGCGATTTCATTATATAGTTTCTCTAAGTACAGATTATAAGTAATCAGGATTCTCTCTTTCTGCATGTTACTTTCTTGCCTTTGCACTTCTGTTTGTTGTGTTCTTTGCGGATGAAGCATTTTTTTGACCCTCAGAGCTACCATTTATTATATCTGCGTCATTCGGCAATGTTATTAATGGTGTTGATCTCTGTTGCAAATGCCTGCGCTGTTGATGAGTGGGTGTATGCCCTTTTAACCAAGCTATTAAATGCCGCTACCTTATAATGCCTTGGGTCACAGGAGTGTGCAGGGATGTACAATTGATCTGCCTGCGGTTTTCTATATACCTCTGTGATGATGGTTGCTCCATTAACTATGATGTTCACGTCGAGGAAATGAACATGAGTATAGCTCTCCTGTTCAAGGCCCAGAGTTAGGCCGTAAGAATTGTTATTAAATGCGGCTATGACTTCATGTATATCAGGTTTACATTTCCAAAGTATGAGTATGCCATCCACGTATCTCTTGTATGTAATAATATTGCAGAGTTGTCAGGCAGTACTTTCTGTTTGAGGAGTTTAATTACCAGTTCACATAAATCTCCTGCTACAGGGCTCCCCATAGGTACACCTCTTCTTTGTTGATATACATTGCCTTTGAATTGAAAGAAAGAAATTTATTGTGCTATAATTAGCACAAGAAATGTGCCAACTCTAATATTTCTTGATGGTGGTAACTGTCTTCTATTATATTTAGTAACAAATCTCTTAAGGCACAGAAGGCTGGCAGAAGGAGTATCGAAGGGTATAGGGATTTAAAATCAAGGACAATGAGGTACTGTGGGGGGGGTATCAATCAGCTTGAAGAGAGTTATAAGTTCGACACTATTGGATATATTGAACTGGTACTNCATTATTGCTTTCAAATAAAATAATGACAATACTTTTGCAGATACTTTTACAATGTCTTCCCAATCCAAAGGTGAAAACAAAGCCCCTAATTGAAAAAGAAAAAAATTTGCTTATATTCTTGTGGTTAGTTGGCAATCAGGAAACATACAGAGAAGTAGCTGACAGATTTGGGGTAACTGAAAGCCATGCACACGGTGTGTTTATGAAATATTGTGATCACATTTCAGCTTTGGCTACTAAATTTATTTGCTGGCCTATTGGTGAAGAAGCTGAAAGATCCATTCGAGCATTTGAAGCTCTACGACAAGTGCCTTTTCCTGGTGTAATAGGTGCCATAGATGGCACCTATGTCGAATTTTCGGCACTAAAGGAAGAAAAAAATGAACATATCACTAGAAAACAAACTGCTGCTGTTGTGCTTCAAGCAGTTTGCAGAAGCAATTTGCTTTTTATTGATATATTTGCAGGATGGCCTGGATCATCAAATGACGCAAGGGTGTTCCGAAATAGTCCTCTCTATTCCAAATTGGGAGATCCACAGTTTTTTCCAAACAATTGTCACATGATAGGAGATTGTGCATATCCTCTATCAAAATCACTCCTAACACCTTATCGTGATACTGGCTATTTAACAAGAAAAGAGAAAAACTATAACAAAGTTTTAAGCTCAAGTAGAGTTGTCATTGAACAAGCTTTTGGCCATTTGTTTGGTAGATTCCGAAAACTAAGATATTTATATATCAGAAAGAGAGCTTTGGTTCCAAAAGTCATCACTGCCTGTTGTGTACTGCATAATTTTTGTATTATGCATAATGATCAGAGTACAGATGTTGAAATTGTTAGTGAAGAGAATGGTCTAGAAGAACTGGAAGAACCCCGCAGCAGTTATTCAAATACTGATGGAGCAGCTAAGAGGAACTTGATAGCAACTCAGTTGTTCTGAGACTGGGTGATGTTATTGGGCTGTATGTACTGTACAATACACTTTACTATATGAATTGTGTTTCAATGTAATAAAATATTGTTTGGAATGTATTATTAAGTATTATAATTTTGTTGAGATGGATACTATACATAAGTGTCTTGGTATGATACATCTACTTTAAACAGTTAAAAATTTAAATTTCAGTGTCTTAAATAAAAAAAAAATGACAATGCTTTTTATTAAAATTATTTGAATTTGTTAATTTAAAAAATAATCTTTATACACTACTACCAATAGTTTATTTGTCAATTGTTGTCGACAGGTTAAAAAACTTTTAATAAATATATTTATAAAATTCTTGCTGAACAGACAAAAAGCAACTCTTCTTGAAGTAGCCTAAGGTTGGCTAATTAATCTTCAGCATATGATGTCTGGACAAGAGATGATAAAAAGTCAGACTAGGTAGAATAATATTGCTTTGTTGTATTTTAATAAATGGAAAATTAGCCAAGGGGCTACTATAAAAAAAAAGAAAAAAAAAAACATTTATTACACATTTGTTTTTATTTTTAATTAATTCAGATATTAGCATTCTGAGATGCTGCAACTCATGTAGTTTTTTTTCTTCTATTCCCTTTACTTCCTTCCATCTCTGTTCATCCTTTGCATCTCTCTTTGACATTTCTTCTAAAAACCATACAGGGGTTCCCGCTTTCTCTTATGGTTCTCCTTGGTAAGAGATGTTGAGGGACGGGATGAGTCCAAGTTGATAGAGTCTGACGTGTTACTTTTACCATTAGTTGTGACTGTATTTGCAGCAGAGGATTTGGAGCCAGATGGATAAACAGCACTCACTGAGGTACATGGAGAAGGCAATGCAGGAGAGGCAATTGACAAACTCAGGTAATGAGGTGGAGGATTATTATTTGATTTTCCACCATACACTTCACAGAATTTATTAAAATGTTCCCATCTTATTTTCCCCTCTCCTGATGTTTTTAATTTATCTAAATTTTGTCTAAATGTACACATTAAATTTCACCATTTATGGCTACACTCCTCCCCTGAAAACTTGAACCCTTTGTTTTGTAGGGCCTGTGAAATTTGACTCCACAGTTTTGCCTTGGCAACTGGTTTCTGGAAGTCATTTTCTCTTTCTATCCTAGAATTGATTAAAAAGCNTTTGAACAGAGGTACTGAGAGGCACTGGCAGTGCACTGAAATTTTGAATACACCCAATGAAACAAATTAAAATGATATTTGAATAATCTTAGCGGTTTATTTTTGTAACGGACCCATCTCAAGGTCATTTATCGTAATATTCATTGGTTTGTACGATTCTAATCATTTTCATGTCAATCAGTGTCTCAACTGTCGGCTATCAAAAATCGCTACGAACTTTCCGAACAACCCAATATAATAAATCACTTTAATGTTTTGAAAATTGTGAAATCAATATTTTGCATTAATTTTAGTTTTTAACTATAAAGCTTTTGAAGATGTTATTGTATACTCATTGCCATAAAAATTAGTGCATCAAGAAGGAACTGTTGAGATCGAACAAGATTGTACATGTATGAATGTAACAGTGATATAAGTAAGTGATTACAAAATGAAAGCAAAAGAATCATTTATTGCAAAAAAAACTACAAACAAAAAGGTTTTAGTATTCTGTTGGGCCACCTCTAGTGTGAACACACGATGTGATATGGACTGGCATGGAGGCATACAGGTACTATATGGTGTCCTGTGGCATCTCGAATTGGCCAAATTCCTAGGCTGTCCAACTTGGCATCCCAGGTAATACCAGACATGTTCAATCAATGACAAATCAAGAGGCTGGGTAGGCCAGGGAAGTGTGGTAATGTGGTGGAGGCAGTCCCTATGACACCCTTGCTGTGTGGGGTTGAGCACTGTCTTATTGGAAAATGGTTCTTGAGAGCTCTACCATAAGAGACAACACATGTGGCTGCAGGATGTCACTAACATACAGCTGGGATGTCATGGTCCCTTGGATCACTACTAGAGGTAAGTGGTTGTCATATGTGATGGCACCCCAGATCATCACATCAGCTGTCTGGGCAGTGTGCTGCTCCATAATATGGGCAGGATTGAGTGTTCATCACGGGTTTCCAGACAAACACAGCCATTGTCAGTGCCAAACTGAATCTGGATTTGTCATTGTAGATGACCCAGTTCCATTCCATTGCAGTCCAATCCCATTGGGAGTAACATCACTCCAAACAGAGGTGACAGTTGGTGGTTGTCAATGGCAGGACACTTAATGGCCATTAAATGTTCCTCACCCAAGCACCTCAAAATGGTACAGACAGACACAGGAGCCTGTAATGTTGATGCCACCTATGTCTGGATGGCGGACAATGATACAGTCAGCAGCTCTGTGTGTGTGTGTGTATGGGGGGGAGGGTCAGGGGACTAAGCAGTTTTCTCAGCTAGTGGTCTGCCAAAGGTGACTTGAGCCTGGGTGCCATGTGTCTTGTCCACTAGTCCCCAACATCTCACAGTGTTGTCAGAATGGCCTAGGTGGCAGGCTATTTGACGAGATGACCATCTGCCTTCTCTCAATTTAATGATCCTTTCCCTCTTAAACTCGATTAAGTTGCACATGAAGATCACATAAACTAAAGGCATCTCTAGTGATACAGCATCCCTTTGCAACAAGTAAACTACAGAGAGGATGCTTTTACACACTTTTTTATAGACTAAATGGGATACACTTTAGTGCCCTCTGCTGGCATTACACAATGAGACAACATGCTATAACTCTAGTCATTTCCATATCTGCTTAAGACTTATCTGCATGCAAGTTTCACAGCAATACCACAACTCCTTCTTGGTGCACTAATTTTTATGGCAATGAGTGTATATTAGCAATTCTGAAAACAGTAAAATAATAAATTAAAATATATTTCTTGACTTGCTTTAATCTAAATTATTTTTATAGAATTATAATCCTAAAAATTAAACTAAGATATTTCAATTTCTGTGTCAAATAATATATTTCAAATTAAGATTACAGTATTTTATAAATATAACATCATAACAATCTTAATTCAGAATTTATTAAAAGTTAAATTAAAATATTATATGACATGACATTACAGTATAATATAAAAAAAAAAATTGCAAAGAAATACATTATGTATATAGTAAATTTCTTATAATAAATATATTTTTGCATAAAAATAGTTTATATATACAGTATATATAAAAAAATTATATATATTACACACAGTAGACCTGCGGCCTGTCTAATCTGACACCCCCTATAATCCGACATGTCTATATGCAGCTCGGTATGCAATGGTCTGAAGAGAATGGTGCATCGTACAATGAACTTTTACTTCAAGGAGACAGAGACAAGGCCTTACTCTTGCATTTAGCCAATGTAAAACAAAAGAAAATTGATAAATATTTGCATGCACCATAAATTTATTTGTTTATCCATTTTCAAATTAAGATCATACATAGTATGTACCTTGGAAATACTTACATATGTTGTATGTAATTGATTGACATCAATATGTTTAGTTATTATTTTTTTGCAAGTGCTATAGTGTTAATGATGTTAATTTTATAATAAACCCTATGCTATCTATTGTGTTGTTTAATTCACTAAGTCC